TAAAAACAATTTGATTTTCTTATCAATAATCACTTATAAGTTAATGACCACAAACTTAAATTTAATAAAAAGTAATTTAAATAAAGGTTAGTTTGATAAAATATATATTTGATTAAAATTGTGATTAAAATTAAAATTTAATAAAAAATAATTTAATATATTTGATTAAAAATATTTTTCAAATTAAAGTTATAAAATAACTAAAAAAGATATATATTAATATTAATAGTTTTTAATTGAAATACTATAGATTTAACTACAGCTATTACATCATGTAATAAACAATATTTAATATAAAAAAATTTTATTATTTCATTAAACTATTTACAATTCTATCACATATAAAATTCATCCGATAAAGATTTCAGTCTCAATGGATTCCTAAGCGTCCAACAATATAGTGTAAGATTTCATCATGAATAAAATTGAAATTATGATCAGATTCTATAAATATTTCATCATCATATGATCTTTTTCTAATGTAATTATGTAGTGCTATTGATGGCACTACAATTTTAACTTGTGTTTTGTATCGATAAGCAAATATGTTTTGTAAAATCCTCCACCTTTATTTCTATACTCTAAAAAAAATATTCTATCACATTATATATTGATGAGTGCATATAATTAAAAAAAAATTAAGATTTTTTCATATATATGAAAATAAAATATTTTTTTATTTTTAAAAAAAAATTAATTTAAATTTATTTAATTTTTTTGCTTAATCGAACCCGTCCAATATATTTCCATGTATAGTGAATTCACTCTCCACATGAATAATGGAGAGTGGATTATTTACTCTCTGCTCACTGTTCATGTAAATTTACTCTTCATTATTGACTTTGTATAATAGTGGAGAAAGCTTTCATGCAGCAGAAGAACAATAAACCCACTCGAAAGAGGCTACCCTGCACGACGGTTCTGGAAAGTTTTTTAATTGAAGTAAAATGACAATGACCAGCTAATGAACTATCGGTGAAGGAGAAAGGAGAATACGGCCTTAGTTTCGGATGGAACCCACAATAATAAAAATATGGTATAACCAAACACTTATCATCTGCGTTTTACTGTAAACGCAACCCAGCACCAAACACACTTTTTCTCAACTATGAGAACCTCCAAATTCTACATTTTCCTCCTACTTTCTTCAATCCTAGCCGTCCACATATCTCTATCATCACCATCATCATCCACAACCCTTTATTTTCTCCCCTTAAATTCAGAATCGCCGTCGTCATTTTGAGTGTCGGGGATCCGTTGCAGAGTGCTTGATGGATGAGGAGTTCCAGATGGGCACGGAGAGCAACATGCGCGTTCTACGAACTACAAGGTGCATAAACTACGGTGCGCTGAGGAGGAACATTGTACCCTGTTCGACCATATGGTTTGTTTGATTGTCACGTATTAATAGGAAAGGTGTGGAATAAAAATAAAAATAAAAAATAAAAACAAAAATTGAACAGCACAGGATAAGTATATTGTTGATTTTTAAAGTGATTCTGTCCATGGCTTCTCGTCTTCTTTTTGGTTTATGAATTCAGAGTTCCAACAAGTAAATATATAGAAAGAAACCATTATATTTTTTGTTATCAAAGTAATTGTTATTATCCATTTTATTTCTTTGTAATTCTGATCTTTCTCCTCTTCTCTTTTCTCCAGGTGTTTCGGCTTAGGGCAAAATATTTCAGCAGAAAACTAGTGAAGGAGTGATACATAGTGATCGGATTTCTAGCATATTCAAAACCAAAACTAATATTCAGAAAGCAAAGAAATTTGTGTGCCATTGAACTTTGAATAAATTCGAATACACACACACACTCTTCCAACTTACTGAATTCCGAATAGCTATTTTTCAATCATTATTTACCATTCAATATGGAAACAAAAGTATTAACTAAGATGAGGAATTACTTAGCCAACAGTTGGAAAAGAAGAATGAACAGCCAGCAGCAGTAGCTTTGTAGAATTATCACGGGGCAGTACAAAAATAGCGGAAAAAGGTCAAGGTCTGTGCTGGGTTTTTCATCTATATTGATTGGATGGATAAAATGGTCACCCCAAATCTGATTGTAAGTGCAATGAAGGCAGAAGGAAACATCTAGAGCACAAGAAGTCCAGCCATGAACCTCACACTTTGTGTTCTGTACCTACGCTGGATGGCTGGCCCAGCTAATTAGCAAGATTTACTTTGGACTTTAATGGAAAGGCATCATCATACACGCCTAAACCCTAAATTGCCAACAAATACATGCATGTCTCTCTCTCACAGCTTTTAAATAGCACCAAAGAAGAAGCCTTTTTTGACCAAAAAGAATTTTGTCGCATGAATCTCATTCTTTTCCTCCATTAAAGCAATGCAAACATAGACAAATTATGCCAATGTGACCTCGTTACCCATGCAATCTCCATCTTATTGGAGAACCTCATAGCACACACTCATGGTCACAATTATTTGGACCATCACAATGGTGGACCAGAACTCCATTTTGTTCAAAATAATTCACATCTGTTGCCCCCTACTCTTGCATAGTCAAAATGCTACCACAGGTACTAAGATGGTGGAATCAGGATGATAATGGAACAGATCATAGGACTTACACAACCACACAAGACAAATTAAATTCTCAAACCCATAAGCACTTTCATAGCATGCCATAAATTTCAGCATTAATACTCCCGTTTCATTCCATTCCCTTGCCCCAACACACAAAAAAAAAAGAGAAAGATCAACAAGGCAACAAGCTATTGGATGCTCTCTCCATAAGTTTTTTTTTCCAAAAAGAAAACAATAATAATAAGAGATCGAAGAAGTATGTATTCCTTGAATTCATAGCTTTAGAAGATGATATAATGAACTTAAGCAGAATCATTGCCTGGCTTGGGTTCTTCCTTGACCTTGGGAGGGACAGAAGGAGAAGGTGAACCCTCTACCCCCATTTCAGTTCTGAGATCATTGATGCTCTGCTCCAACTCATCTATCCTGTTGCCCATTTCATCAAGTAACATCGCAGTCAAGGAAACCATTAATAGGTTACATTGGCATCATATCCACATTAAGCAATATATTCTAAGCATTACCAATTAAATTCCATGTGAGTGAAATTGTTCCATTTTGTCTTCCATGGTATTTGAGAGAAAGTCTACCTTTCAAAAGAAAATCTCAAACTCTCTTGCAGTTTAAAACAGTGAAAAACCCTTGAACATTCTGTCAAAATAAAATAAAATAAAATAAAATTTTGATTTTGACATCACAACTATAACCTTACAAATAAGATTTTTGGCGACTATCCCAAATGGAAACAGCTACATCAGATTTCAAATCATAGAACTCTGATGATATGCAAGTGAGATAGCATATCATCCAAAGTAGACTAATGATATACCAAGTGGACTTCTCACGAATGCCATTTCACAGAAGTGTAAACTTATCCCCATAATAAGCATTAAGCTACTCAAATAATAATGGAACTGCCCTTTTTCATACAAACACCCTAAGCATTTAGGGAACAAATGAGGGGAAAAAAGGATATTCTTTGTAACGATGGAGTCAGACATTGTCTGGAACCTGGATTGCTGCAAAAAGCAAAGATAACCAACTTATGCATCTTACCTTAGATTTGCTAATGCCAAACAGAAAACCATCACAGATTTAGCAAAAAAGATACTCACCATCTGCTGAAGCAAATTTTGCACCTGCAGAAAAGCAATGCAAACGATCAGCTAAAGCCAAACATTCATTCACTCGAACCATAAACTCCATCCACTGTTTCCATTTTCCACACATAATCACGGCACAAAACGAACCGAAATAATACTAAATGAAAGGCGCTTATAATAATAGGCCTTAACTGTCTCGCTCCAGCACACGCTAACTAAACTAACTGTGGTTGAAGAATCCAAATAATTTAAGAAGGAAGCCTCAGATCCAAACCATCAAGAGACATATCTCCATAGCATAACAGTGCGCGATACATGAAAAATCTTCACACAGCCCATTTGTTCAAGAAATCATTCTTAAGACAACAATGAAATCCTCATAAAATTATCGAAGCTAAAATGGATGGATTATGTAGAATACACTTAAGAATGTAGAGTAGAACTCACAAAAGCAGTCATATCAGCAGTGCTCTTTTTGGCATCATCTGCATCGTGCCCATCCTGCCAAACAACAGAAATTCCAATAGCAATAAGCGAAATAATTCAAACATAATACAGATTTTTTACCAATATTTCCTGATTTCTCATTGGAACAATACATTCTCTACAAATCTGACGATTACAATAATTAAAAAAATAAATCACAAAATCAACACTCACTGAATCTAAAAAAATAACCTAATTTATAACCATAGAAACCCTAAGGGTAATATTTATGGATTCAGAAAGACTTACCATTTTTTTTGCTTCTTCTGTGCCCTTCCGAGAGTTCGATTAACGGGACCGAGAAGAGAGAGAGAGAGAGAGTGAGTGAGGGAAATGAAGATTTGGATAGGTGGGAAGTATGAGCAGGTCTCGCAAAAGAAGTGTGAGGAAGCGTATTGTTACAAATTTATCCTTGTAACATGGGAAAAATTACAGTTTTACTTTTCCTTTTCATAAAAAATAAAATAAAATGGACACATATAGTTTTTACAAGAGCGTGATTATTTTAATTCAGCCAGAAGACGATAGACATAGAAACGAAGCGTCCTTCTTAAAACGTTTTTGAAAATTTTTTATTTTAAAAAAAAATAATATTTTTATTTATTTTAAAATTATTTTGATGTATTAATGTAAAAAAAAAGTAAAAATATTATTTTTTTTTAAAATAAAAAAATATTTTTTAAAAAATAATTACCATGATATTAAACTACATCTTAATAATTGTTAAATAATTATAATTAAGAAATGGAATTACGAGGGTGCGTAGTAGATATGTGATGATATTTTAGTGGATAAATCATTGGTTTAAGATCGATTGGAATTTATGGAAAAAAAATTAAAAAAAAAAAAAAAACACATTTCAACAACTTCTTCATTCTATAGATTCTTAAATGAAGAACACGAGCAGCTAGAAAGCAAGCAAGGACATGCAGCATCAGCAGAACCCTCTCTTGCAATGGTTTTGATGCCCTAAACAGCTTGAATTAAAGTGGATTACTGCTCTTCCTAACCCTCCAAGCAGCCAGTGAAGTATGAGTATACCCATAAATCTGCAGAATCTGATCATCTCCAAAATTGAAAGCACGGTCCATCTGCTTCAAGCACCTCTCCACCGGATAATCCCCCGCCTTCCCACAAGGTTTGCATCCAACGAAGTGAGTAACAAGAGGCCACCGATCATCACCAAGACCGGCATGGTATTTCTCGATCATCTCCTCGTACCTGTCAACCAAGATCTCCCAGTAACCATGCAAATAATAAGCATTCTCTAAATATACTTTGTCGGCCCACTTATCCCTCTGTGTAGCCAGCAAATATACCATTGCAGACTGATCATCAGCTTCGAAAACCGGCCTCCCTTTCAGCTCCTTGGCAAGTAATTTCCCTGCTTCATCTCTAATCTTCCCTTTAGGCCCCATTGGTGCCCATGCGTCTAAAAGATCCAATGACCATTGACAGTTCCTTATGAAGAAACTCCCTGTGTTCAGTCCAATCCAATTCCTTTGATCATAAACCATCTCCTTCCACCCGTGCATCACAAGGTTATAATCCTTGTACTTCTCCCACGGCACCTCAAATGCCATGTCTGTAAACATAGCATCGCTATCCATCCACCACAAGAATTCTACCTCGGGCTGCGAAACCAGCAGCTTCCTTATTAACGGCAGCTTAGCCCAAAAGCCGGCCATTTCAGCGTCAAGCAGAGCCATGTTGTAAAAAATGTCGATGCCGTGAAGCCTGCAGTAATCAATCTTATTTTTAATTGATTTTAGCAGGTAATGATCGCCGACACGATTCTCGCAAGGTTTCGGTGAAGATCCTGTGACTAACAGAACTCTCGGTTTGTCAGGCCCAACAAAGTTGGGAAACTTCGGGTTTTCACCTAGCCATTTAGCTCTCTTCTGGTCCCAATCTGAAATCTTCGGCCCCAAACTGTATGGCTTGTCAGAATCAGGATTCTCATCGTCTTCGCCTTCATCGACTAATAGCTTGTTAATATCAAATGAGGCATAGCTATTTGGATCATCGCTTTTGGTGTTCGTATCATTCCTGCTGTTGTTGCGAGTCAATTCAGTGACAACTTTCTGTGGCTCGGCGCGCTTGCGAGAAGAGTAGAAGTTGTTGCGGAGGTAGTTGACGTGTTGCTCCTGAGTGCCAAACTTGCCAGCGCCAATTGTGCCAAGTAGGACGATGGCGGTCATGAAGAGGCAGAGTAGGGTGACCTTGGCATGGCACATTGGTCTCTGGAACGGGTGGTCCCGATAACTTACTCGGCACCAGTCCAGCATCTTTAGCTACAGCGAGCTATATATGTTAGCCAAATGCAAAGCTTTTTGTATCTGAAGACTTTGTTTTTAAAGGGTTCTTTTCAGGAAATGAAGATTGAAGATGTTGGGTTGTTGAACAGGTAAGAAATGGCAGAATATTAGGAGCCAAGGGAGATCGTCGGGTGGGAGCTGAAGAAGGTAGGAAGAAGAAAGAAAGATGCAATGGGAGAGAATAAACAAATAAAAATATTTCATCTTCGCACGTTCAGGGAATCAAATGAATATCTTGATCAAATTTTTGGAAAAAAAAAATTGAGAAAACTTAAATCATACATGTGGCCATGGTTTGAGGACAAAGTTTCCACCAACAACTAAACTATATATCAAATATAAAAGACTGTTGTTTATAATGCTGTCAAGTCTCCAATAGGAGGCGTGTCTTGCAGCAATCAAGGCCAGAGCAGTAAGAAAACTTCGTCTATTTTGGCTTCCAGCAAGATGAAGTTGGTGTAAATGTGTGGAGAGATTGAGATCTTAAGACTGTATTTAAACTACAACGAAGATGGCAGGGAGATACTCCTATTTTGGCTTCCAGCAAGATGAAGTTGGATGTAAATGTGTGGAGAGATTGAGATCTCAAGACTGTATTTAAAATACAACGAAGATGGCAGGGAGATACTTTCTCAAAGCAAATCAAATTCATCTGAAAGTAAGAATCTTTTCAAGATTGTTTACAAACTATCAGGAAAACTATTAGACTACAACAAGGAGACAGGAAAAATCATCGTAGCCCATTACAAAGATGTCAATTATTCTACACGGAGTTAGAAAACCTGGGATTATCCAAGGTTTGATGTAGCAGCTTTGAGTTGAAAAATCTAAATTGAAATACTGTCACTATCAACTCTATCATTTCTGATGAAGACCCTCTTTTCTCTTTCGTTCTTTCAGAACCAAAAAGCCAAAAGGCAAACCAGGCTCATCACCATAGCATGCTTGATAGCAATACAGGTGAAAAAGTGATAAGCCATGTCCTCCAACTGCTCGATTACACATGACAAAATTAGGAGATACACATCTGTTTCTGTCCATCTGCACCTGTCTGGCTTTTGTGATAAGTCTGTTGACTAATTAACATGGCTATAATAGAACCATGCCTTAATTTGAAATAATTGTCTGGCATAAGAACTGCTAAGAAAAGAAAGTTGTTCTTGAATATTGTTTAAACATCATTGGCAAATTTCCACCAATCATTCTTTAAAACCATAAAAAAGGGATGGATATAATAAATAAATAAAACCCTATATTTAAAAGAAAAAAGAAAGCGAGGATTTTGTGTGTTTTCCACAAAGAGATCTTATT